AAACAGTGTGGGCTGGAGCTCAAAAGTCCAAGGCTCTCACCTCCCTCCACGGCTGGGCCCAAAAGCGGTCATATTTGGCCTTCCTGGCTGGGCAGCCTCTCTCTGGCCACTGGCCAGGGCCCACGCTGTTCCTGCTCAGGACTCCCGTATCCTGCCCGCCTCTGCCCACGCTGGCCCAGGGTGCACGCTCCCGTCCTGTGGCAAATGTCACTCACAGTCCAGCCTGCCCTGCATCCCCTCCTCCAAGCAGACCCCTAGCCTAGCCCTGCACTCCATCCTCTAGGCAGACCCCCAGCACAGCCCTGCCTGACCCTTCACACCCTCCTCCAGGCAGCCTCCCCAGCCCTGCACCCCCCTCCAGGCAGCTTCCCCAGCCCTGCACCCCCTCCTCCAGGCAGCCTCCCAAGCCAGGCCCACCTAGTAATGCTGGGCGTCCTGTGTGTGCGCAGGGGGCCGGGTCCTGGAGGTGGGCTTTGGCATGGCCATCGCAGCGGCAAAGGTGCAGGAGGCACCCATTGATGAGCACTGGATCATCGAGTGCAATGACGGTGTCTTCCAGCGGCTCCAGGACTGGGCCCCGCGGCAGACTCACAAGGTGCCCCTCTGCCCGCAGGCCCTCCAGGAGCCCCACTCTGTGGGGTGAGGGCACTGCCTCTTGGAGGGTTGGGGGCCTGGGCCTCCAGAGGTGGAGGAGGTGGTCCTCTCCCTTGGGAGTCCTTCTGGGTGCTCCCTTTCTGCAGTTGGGGACATCTTGGGGACCTCTCTGACCCTTTTTATTTTCCCTTCTTCAAGGTCGTCCCCTTGAAAGGCCTGTGGGAGGATGTGGCACCCACCCTGCCTGACGGACACTTTGATGGTGAGGGGGGACAGGGACATATCACAGAGTGGTCCTCCCAGCTCCAGTCGAGCCCCTCCTTTGCTTGTGGGGGCCCTCTGGTGTGCACTGGGGGGACAGTGTCCCGGTGGGTGCAGGCCTGGCTGTGAGGGCTGGCAGGGCACAGAGGATGGGCACACTCACAGAGGAGCGCTGGAGGCGATTCTCAAGCCCAAGTGGGAGCCCCGCCTCTGCCCAGTCTCACTTAACCTCCACCCGCTGGGGTGAGCTGGGGAGGCACTGAGCCCGGCCCTGACCTCGTGGGTTTCTGTCCTCTGTGCAGGGATCCTGTATGACACATACCCACTCTCAGAGGACACCTGGCACACACACCAGTTCAACTTCATCAAGGTACCGCTCTCTGACTTGCGGGGATGCAGGAGCCCCTCTGCCCACACCCCACCTCCATCCTGATCACTGGCCACTCCCCTGCCACAGAACCACGCCTTTCGCCTGCTGAAGCCGGGGGGTGTCCTCACCTACTGCAACCTCACCTCCTGGGGGGAGCTGATGAAGTCCAAGTACTCGGACATCACCACCATGTTTGAGGTGGGCTCACCTGGAGTTCCCCACGGGTCTGCAGGCATTGACCTTGGGTGGGGGTGGGAATGGGCTGCTGGCATCACCTTGCTGTCGGGGGAGGGTCCCTTCCCGACCCCCTAGATGGGCTGGACTGTGCTGGTTCATTTGGAAATCAGAGTCCTTTGCTTGGTGTGGTGGCTGCCAGGAGCCGTGGCTCGTGCCTGTAATCCCAGCACTGCAGGAGGCCAAGGTGGGCATATCACTTGAGTCTAGGAGTTTGAGACCAGCCTGGGCAACATAGCAAGACCTGGCTTTTACTAAAAACATACAAAAAAGCCGGGCATAGTGGCTCACACCTGTAATCCCAGCACTTTGGGAGGCCCAGGCAGTGGATCACAAGGTCAGGAGTTCGAGACCAGCCTGGCCAATATGGTGAAACTCCATCTCTACTAAAAATACAAAAATTAGCCGGGTGTGGTGGTGCGCACCTGTGGTCCCTGCTACTCAGGAGGCTGAGGCAGCAGAATTGCTTGTACTCTGGAGGCAGAGGTTGCACTGTGCCAAGATTGTGCCACTGAACTCCAGCATGGGCGACAGAGAGAGACTCTGTCTCAAAACAAACAAAAAACTAGCCGGGCATGGTGGCGTGTGCCTGTCCTCCCAGCTACTCGGGAGGCTGTGGTAGGGCTGCTTGAGCCCAGGAGGCAGAGGTTACAGTGAGCTGAGATCGAACCACTGCACTCCAGCCTGGGCAACAGAGCCAGACCCAAAGAAAAGAAAAAAAAAAGGGAAATCAGGCTGGGCATGGCGGCTCACACCTGTGATCCCAGCACTTTGGGAGGTCGAGGCAGGTGGATCACTTGAGGTCAGGAGTTTGAACCTAGCCTGGTCAACATGGCAAAACCCCGTCTCTACTAAAAATGTAAGAGTTAGCTGGGCGTGGTGGCGCACATCTGTAATTCCAGCTACGCTGGAGGCTGAGTCACGAGAATTACTTGAACCTGATTCAAGGCAGAGGCTCCTGTCAGCCAGGATCACACCATTCCACTCCAGCTTGGGCAAGAGAGCCAGACTCCATCTCAAAAACACAACAGGCCGGGCGCGGTGGCTCACGCCTGTAATCCCAGCACTTTGGGAGGCCAAGGCGGGCGGATCACAAGGTCAAGAGATCAAGATCATCCTGGCCAATATGGTGAAACCCCATCTCTACTAAATATATAAAAATTAGCTGGGCTTGGTGGTGTGAGCCTGTGCTCCCAGCTGCTTGGAAGGCTGAGGCAAGAGAATTGCTTAAACCCAGGAAGTGGAGGTTGCTGTGAGCCGAGATCACGCCATGGCACTGCAGCCCGGTGATAGAGCGGGACTCCGTCTCAAAACAACAGAATAGAAACCAAAGTCCCTCACCAGCTCAGCAGCCTCCCGTGGCTCCCCAGTGCCCTGTGGTTCGACCTGAGCCCCGCGGTTCCCCTCCCTCCGGCCGCCTCCGCCGGTTCAGCAGTACTTGTCTCTGGCTGTGCCCTCTGCCCGGTGGTGGCACCTGTCTGAGGAGGGCTCTGTGTGGTGGTCCTGGGCTGCTGTTCTGAGAGCCTGCCGGGTGCCTGTGGCCCTCAGGGCAGCTTGTGTTCTTTTTCTGTCGCAATTGTTTGGCTCTACCAGCCGCACTGGCAAGGTCTGGAGAACCATGGAGTAGGGGCTGGAGCCCCATGATGCTGGTGTGGGGCTGGGGTCCAGGGCCGCCCTCCACGTGCCCACGGCGGCTGCAGCCGCCCACCTGGGCCTTGGCATCTGTAAACACTCTTCAGTGTGGGGTGGGCACCGAGGTGCACGTGACCCCACAGCCCTCAGAGGTGACCTGCGCCACCCCGCCCAGGAGACGCAGGTGCCCGCGCTGCTGGAGGCCGGCTTCCGGAGGGAGAACATCCGCACCGAGGTGATGGCGCTGGTCCCGCCAGCCGACTGCCGCTACTACGCCTTCCCGCAGATGATCACGCCCCTGGTCACCAAGGGCTGAGCCCTTACCCCAGCCTGGCCACACCCGGGCCCTCCTCCGTGCCTTCCTGGCTGGGAGCCCAGGCTCTCCTGCCAGCCCCGCCTGATCCCAGCCGTGTGTTACCCGCAGCTTTCCCGCCCATCTGGGAGGGGTCCTGCCGCCCCCTGCAGGGTCCCTGAGGTGAAGTAAACGCTGGTGATGGCTGGCGGTCCGCAGTGAGTGAGCGACTCTTACTTCCAGCTGGTCCTCACCTCCCGCCATCGCACAGACACAGGAGAAAGCGGGTGACTCCCCTGCAGGTTTCTGAGCAGCCCCAGGCCCCCCACTGTCTTGCCCGTGGCAGATATCTCCAGCCGACGCCTGATGCGCCTTCGGCAGACCAGAGCCACTTGAGACTTTGCAGCTGGGTCAGAGAGGGGTGTAACTAGGCCAGGGTCTCAGACGGTGGGGAGCACCAGGGCAGAGGTGTGGGCAAGACAAGGACCCTTGCCCACCCCCGCCAGAGCCCGCTTCTCTACTGGCCCCGGCATGACCTGAGCTCCCCTCCCCCACCGCAGGAGGCGCGTCGCTGCTGAGAGCCCCCCATTTCTGGACGTCGTTTCCTCCCTGGAGGCATTGCCCCCACTGGGCCCCATGCAGGGGCAGCTCCACCTGCCCAGCCCCAGGAACACCCCGCTCCTGCCGTCCATGTCCCCGTGCCCGGCTGGTCACCCCACACCCCTTGCATCCACGTGCGTGCAGGCTGCCCATCCCCCGCACCCACCCCCACTCGTCCGGAGAGAAGGCCGGCTCCTGGGCTCTGCACTATGGCCCAGGCTGCCCTTCCGAGGGCTGCCCCGTCCCCACCCCAGGACGTTCCCCCCCAGCACATTCTGCCTCCAGGCTACTTTCCTGGCCAGCTGGGCGCCTGCTCCCCATACTCCCTAGCCTCCCAGTCCCCATCCCAGCCTGGCCTGTCATAACCGCATCCCCAGAAACGCCCCAGCGCAGTAGGCAGGTAGGGGTGGGCCTGCAGAGCGGGGGCTCCAGCAGTGGCGGCGTCTGGCCCTGAACGCGGAAAGATGGGACGTGTGCTGAATGAATGCACATCCCTGATGAGGACACAGACTCCAAAGGATAAAGGGGCTGGCGGGGCGGAGCCAGGGTTACCCCAAAGTCCTGGGTGTAGAGGGTCCCCGAAGGGGCTCACCTGGGCCCTGGAGGCCCCAGGTCAGACAGCCTGGGAGGCACTCAGCCCCGCCCTGCGGCCCTCTGGTTTCGAAGAGGACCAGGTGCCATCTCCCCCTCCCCTCGGCCCCGTTCCTCGCCTAACCGGCCCATCCCCACTGCCTGGAGACGGCCCAGAGGGCAGCGGTGACCTGCCCAAGCCCACTCGGGCCACGGGCCACCCTCTGAGCCCCAGGGCAGGATCAGACAGGCTTTGCTCAGCCTGTCTTGGGGCACAGCGGGGGACAGGTTCAGGGCCCTCCATGCCGGTGACTTTGGGCCAGGACGTTCACCCCAGGGTCTTCAGAGCAGCGGGAAAGCACCCTGCTGGCAGGCACAGCGCCTGTCCCTGCCCCCAACCCGAAGCCCCGCCTCTCGGGCAGCTTTCGCCCATACACCACACTGGGAGGCAGAGGCCCAAGGGCGGGTTTATTGACAAACTCACGGGACAGAAGGGGGACAGGACGGCTCCGGGCGAGGCTCTGGCGGTGGCGCTACCTGCGGTACCAGATCTGCAGCCTCCGCTCCCGCTTGATCTTCTTCTGCAACTGCAGGATGCCGTAGAGCAGGGCCTCGGCCGTGGGCGGGCAGCCTGCGGGGACCTCGCGTCAGTCTCCCTTCCCACAACCAGGGCCTGTGTGACCGCGGGCACCGCGCAGCTGGCTCGGCTTGTGAGGGGCCTCCCGTGCCAGCCTCTGAAGGTGGAGACTGGCAGCCCTGGGTGGGCGCTGAGGCCGGGGCTGGCAGCCGGCTCGGGGGACGTCCCTGCAGGAAGAGTGGGGTCCCCCCGGGGCAAAGCCCCACTGCCCTCCACCCATGGCTCGTCCTGGGCTGTCACAGGAGGCTCCTGGACAAGAGGCTGACCTCACCAACCCAGCCCCGGCCCTCGGGGCTCCGTGGGGACCAGCACACACCAACGCACTTGGCAGGGGGACCAGGGACCAGGACTGCCCTGGACGGAGGTGTTGGCAGGGAGGCTGGGCAGAGGGAGGAGACGTGGCAGTCGCCACAGGGCCTGGGAAAGGGCGGCTGGGCCCCACCTGGCAGGGCTCTGGCAAGTCCAGGCCGCTGCCACGGAGGGAGGGGCACGGTCCGCGCTCACACCCCACCCCTTTGGTCTGCACTGCAGGGGAAGACACCAGGGGCATGGGCTGGGCCCCTGAGCTCCAGACCCCAGGACGGACCTCTCTGTGCTGACAAGGGTCACAGGGAGGCCCAGGCTGCCCTGTCCACTGCCCTGAGCCCCCAGGTGACCTGGCTCAGGACCTCAGGGAGAACACACTAGGGCTGCTCCTGAAGACCCTTGGAAAGGAGTCGGGGGCAAGGAGGCTGGAGGCAGCAGAGCGGCTGGGATGGGTGAGAGGTCCCCAAGGGCCAGGGGCTGGGAAAGGAGCCCGGGAGGAACAGTGGTGCTCCGCACAGCCTCAATCCACAGTGCGCACCCCCACACAACAGGCAGGGCCGGGCGTGTCTGTGTCAGGCTCTGCATCCCTGGCCTGGGGGCTCCCCCAGCGTCACTTCCCGGCCAAGGCAGTCATGGAACCATGCAGAACGCTGAGCAAGTCAACGCCCTTTCCAGGGAAGCTGAATCCAGTGTCAGAGCCTGTTCCTCCACTTTTGAAACGCACCAGGAGGTGCCGCCAGCTTACCCATCCCTCCAGATGTGGGACTCAGGGCTGGACTCTCTGCACCTGCGCTAACACCATGGGACCAAGAACGGGGCCTCTGTCGCCTGTCCCACGTGAGCGACACCTCCCGACCTGCCACCTCGGACCACTGTCAGGGCGAACGCCCCAGGGGTGACCCTCATGGGACCACAGGAGGCACGGGAGTCCCACGAGGTCACCAGATATAAAGAATGCCCGTTCCATGTGAATTTCAGGCATGCAGCCAATGCTTCCTGTTGGAATAACTACATCCCAAATATCGTGGGGACATATTCGAACTAAACAGTTACTATTTATTCATTGTTTTCCTGATGGTCAAACTCCCCTAACCTCAGTCAAACTGAGCCTCCCGCATTTTCTTTTTTTTTTTTCAGAGATGGGGTTTCACCACGTTGGCCAGGATGGGATGGTCTCGATCTCCTGACCCTGTGATCCGCCTGCCTCAGCCTTGCAAAGTGCTGGGATTACGGGCGTGAGCCACGGCACCCGGCGCCTCCCGCATTTTCATTTGCCGAATCTGGCCACCCTGGCAACCTTGGGTCCCAGGGAGTCTCGTGTGCCCTTCTCTGAGGGTGAGGCTGCGGGATGCTGTCCTTGGCCCCTAGGAACCTTCTCTTTCGATATTTCTAACTGCAGGTCCCTGGTCTCTGTCAGGCAGGACCATGTGAAGCTGTGCTTTAGGCTGCGCGAGGTGGCTCACGCCTGTAACCCCAGCACTTTGGGAGGTCGAGACCAGCCTGACCAATATGGAGAAACCCTGTCTCTACAAAAAAAAAAAAAAAACCCACAAAAATTCAAAGTTAGCTGGGTGTGGTGGCGCACACCTGTAATCCCAGTTACTTGGGAGTCTAAGGCGGGAGAATAGCTTGAACCTGGGAGGTGGGGGTTACAGTGAGCCGAGATGGCGCCATTGCACTCCAGCCTGGGCAACAGAGCAAAACTCCGTCTCAGAAACTGTGCTTTAAACCAGGCGAGTGTCAGGAATTCCGATGGCTTCCACGGCTCCCTCTGCTCCCTCTGCTGCCTGAACAAGCTGCAGACTTCTCACCGAGGACATGCTCCGCTAAGAGGGAGAGCCCCGGGTCGGCTCAGCCGTTGGATGGGGGAGCCCGCCGTCTGCTGGGGTGTGGGACTCCCTCACAGGGGCAGCTGGGTTCTGCATGGCGCCGGCCCCGTCCCCCGCTCCCTCGTGGGCGGCGCGGCCCCGGCCCTACCTGGGACGTAGATGTCCACGGGCACGATGCGGTCACAGCCCCTCACAACCGAGTAGGAGTAGTGGTAGTAGCCGCCGCCGTTGGCACAGCTGTGGGGGGTGCGCCGTGAGGGGGGCGCAGGCCGAGGACCCGCCTGCCCACCCTCCCTCCTCGAGGCCTTGCCCCGCCCCCACCTGCCTTCCCCTGCAGGCCAGGCCCGGCTACCGACGAGGCTGGAACTTGTCACGGAGAAGCAGGGAGCAAACACGCACAGGCTCCTGGAGCCTCTGTGGGCCGGCGGAGCCGAGCGCACGCGTGGCCGACAACCTGGGAAAACGTGCTGCCTGCCCAAGGGGCTCCTGACCATCGATTCCCGGGCTGGGAACTGTCGGATCGCACGTGTCGACAAAAAGCCCCTTCAAACGGCCACGCTGCCGACACTCGGCACCTGTCGACAGGGCGGCCGGGCCCCACGCTAGGCCTCACCCCGTCCCGGCTCTTTCAGTGGGTGCTGGGGTCCCCCTGGGGCAGGTAACCGGAAACCCCAGGGGACCACACAGCCTCCACTCCCAGCACTGCTTCCCACAGCCTGAGTACCAGCAGTGGGGGATGGTTATGAAAACTCTGGAATATTCTGGGCTAGTGCCCAGCCTGGAGTGCGGTGGCGCCATTTTGGCTCACTGCAACCGCCGCATCCGGGTTTAGGGATTCTCCTGCCTCAGCCTCCTGAGTAGCTGGGACTACAGGCGCGCACCACCACGCCCGGCTGATTTTTGTATTTTTAGTAGAAACGGGGTTTCACCACGTTGGTCAGGTTGGTCTCAAACTCCTGACCTCGTGATGCACCCACCTCGGCCTCCCAAAGTACTGGGATGAAAGGTGTGAGCCACCATGCCCGGCCCAACTCTGGAATATTCCAATTCTCTGTTTAGAATTAGGTTCGTAATATGTCCACTCAGGGGCACAGTATTCAGCCAAGAAAAGGGGTGAGGCTCAGACAGGCCACAGTGTGTATGCACCTTGAGGATGTCTCAGTGAGAGGCGCCAGACACAGGAGGCCACGCAGTGTGTGACCCCGTTCCTATGAAATGTCCAGGACAGCCGGGCGCGGTGGCTCACGCCTGTAATCCCAGCACTTTGGGAGGCCGAGGCGGGTGGATCACGAGGTCAAGAGATCGAGACCATCCTGGTCAACATCGTGAAACCCCGTCTACTAAAAATACAAAAAATTAGCTGGGCATGGTGGTGCGTGCCTGTAATCCCAGCTACTCAGGAGGCTGAGGCAGGAGAATTGCCTGAACCCAGGAGGCGGAGGTTGCGGTGAGCCGAGATCGCGCCATTGCACTCCAGCCTGGGTAACAAGAGCGAAACTCCGTCTCAAAAAAAAAAAAAAAAAGAAATGTCCAGGACAGGCCCCCCCACAGAGGTATGCAGGGGATGCACAGTGAGTGCTGATGGGGACAGGGTTTCCTTTGGGGGTGATAAGAATGTTCTGGAATTAGAGGTGGTAGCTACATAACTCTGTGACTATAACTAAAAACCACTGAACTGTTTGCTTTAAAAGGGTAAACTTGGCAAGACCCGATCTCTACGAAAATTCTAAAAATTAGGCACAGTGGAGCACATCTGTAACCCCAGCACTTTGGAAGGCTAAGGCTGGGGGATCGGGGGAGCCCAGGAGTTCGAGGCGCAGTGAGCTATGACTGTACCACTGCACTCCAGCCTGGGCAGCTCAGCGAGATTCTGTCTCTAAAGAATAAAAATGATAAATATTTTAAAATGTCAAGAGACTAAATACCTTTTAATGTTATGGGAAATGACTAAAAATGATGGCAAGGCCAGGTGTGGTGGCTCACATCGTTAATCCCAGCACTTTGGGAGGCGGAAGTGGGCGGATCACCTGAGGTCAGGAGCTCCAGATCAGCCTGGCCAACATGCTGATACCCCGTTCTCTACTAAAAAATTAGCTGGGTGGGGTGGCGGGGGCCTGTAATGCCAGCTACTTGGGAGGCTGAGGCAGGAGAATCGCTTGAACCCGGGAGGCGGAGGTTGCAGTGAGCCGAGATCATTCCACTGCACTCCAGCTTAGATGACAAGAGCAAGACTCTGTATCAAAAAAAAATTGTTTTTACAATGCTGACAAGCTAGAAGGCTGAGATTATTCTGCGGGGAAAGCAGAGAACCGGGCAGAATGTGGGGTCTGCTGCTGGGGGTGGATGGAAGGAAGCTTTTAGGGAGAGGACCACCAGCACATCTGTCTGGGGTGGAGGCCCGAGAGGGCTGAAGGGCAGCACCCGGACCATGTGGGATTTCCCTGAATATAAATGACACAGCCAGGCCAGCACTCACGCATGTCCACCCCTGAGACGTCCCTTCCTGCACTCACCTCCCCATGGACACCACGTAGCGTGGCTCGGGCATCTGGTCGTAGACCTGGAAGAGAGGCGGGGTCTGTGCGCAGCTCTCTGGGAGGCAGCGGGGACCGGGTAGAAACGGAAGAGAGGCGGGGTCTGTGCGCAGCTCTCTGGGAGGCAGTGGGGACCGGGTAGAAATGGAAGAGAGGCAGGGTCTGTGCGCAGCTCACTCCAGGGCAGCGGGGGACCAGGCCTACCTTGCGGAGCGCAGGGGCCATCTTGTTGGTGAGTGTGCCGGCCACGATCATCACGTCGGACTGGCGTGGGCTGGCGCGGAAGACCACGCCGAAGCGGTCCATGTCATAGCGGGGTGCGGCCATGTGCATCATCTCCACGGCACAGCAGGCCAGGCCGAAGGTCATGGGCCACAGGGAGCTCTGCAGAGGCCAGGATCAGGTCAGACCCTGCCGACCGCGCCCCCCGTGGCCCACTGCAAGCCTCCACGCGGAGCACCCAGGCTCAAGTCCGGGGCAGAGGCTGGAGGCACAGCAGCCCCTGCAAATGGCCACCAGGTCCCAAGAGAGGTGTAAAGCAGGCCCCGCCGGCCACGTTTAAATAAAATAGAGAAGCAGGTGAGATCTGCCATCATCACACAGATCCCCAAACCCAGTGTACCCCAAGTCCCACCACTTCAACATGGGCTCCAGCCACTCTCTGAGCACGTAGTCATGCAGGTCTAACCCCAGAACTCCCTGGGTTAACTAGATCTGGGTCCGCACACCAAGTGCTCACACCTCCAGGAAGCCCTCCCGGATTTCCTTGGCCACTCCCTCCCCTCTCCTGCATCCACGTGGCTTCTCCTTTTCCCCATGGTTCCTGCTCCCCCTGCACATGGCTCCAACACCTAGCAGAGGCCCCTTCTGCCCCCACAGATGTGCTGGTGGGTGACAGGGCTGGGCTGTAGGGCGAGGCAGGGCTGCCTGGGCAGAAACGGCCAACCCCACCTGCCCGCCCCGAGCCTGCGGTGGGCCAGCCCCGGCTGTTCCTCAGGTTTCCTCCATTAGGAAGTATCCTCCAGCCGGCATCTGTCTCGGCCGCTGTGGCTGCCTGTGGCCCGGCAGGACATTCACCGTGGCATTGTTTAGGAAACAAGAAACAAAAGGAAGCAGTGCCTGTCTGTCAATGGGGGACTGTTCAACCCGGGCCATCGCAGCCGAGTGCCGCAGGCGCTGGAGGGAGTGGCACGTGCGCACACTGGGGGAGGGGTGGCGGCGGGCGGCAGGGGCTGGCGCCACAGGCCGGAGAGGCTTTAGATCGGCACAGAGAAGGACCGACCGCCTTCACATGTGCTTCTTTTAACTTAAAACACTGCTTTCACCTTAAAAGAGAAACGAGGAACACAGAGAAGCCAGACAGAGAACGACAAAAAGGGATGGGGTCATCTCAAGCAGGGCCCAAGGTGGCACCAGAGACAGGGCCAGTGAGCGGGACTCCAGGACGGCCACCAGGGCCAGGGCTCAGACGAATCCTCAGGAGGAACCACAGGCCACCAGGCCAGCACGGGGGCCCTCTGGGAGCGTCCGGCCTGCTCCTCGGTCAGAGGGGCGAGTGTGTCTGTGTGTGTGCACAGATGTGTGTGCCCATGAACATGCATGTGTGCATGAGTGCCCACAAGTGTGCGTGTGTACATGTATATGCATGTGTGTACACGTGTACTGTGTGTGCATGTGTGTACATATGTGCGTGTGCGCATATGAATGTACATGTCCGTGTGTGTATTGTGTGTGTGCATGTGTGCATGTAAATGTGCGTGTGTGCATGTGTGCGTGTGCATGACTACGAATGTGTACATATCCATGTGTGCATGTATGGTGTGTGTGCATGTGTGTGTGCATGCATGTGTGCACATGTGCATGTGTACGTGGTCGAGTGTGCATGTGCACATGTATGTGCATGTGTGAATGTGTACATGTACATGTACTGTGCATGTGGGTGCACGTGTGTGTGCATGAGTGTGAATGTGTACATGTCTGTGTGTGTGTACTGTGCGTGTGTCTGTGTGCATGAGTATGTGTGTACATGTGTGTGTAGTATGTGCATGTGTGCATGTGGATGAGTATGAATGTACGTATCCGTGTGTGTACTGTGCATGTGCGTATGCATTTATGTGTACGTGAGTATGAGTGTGTACATGGCCTGTGTGTGTACTGAATGTGCATGTATGCTGTGTGCATGTGTGCATGTACAAATGCCTGTGCATACGTGAGCTGTGCACGCATGTGTGCATGCCTGCATTGCTCTGTGTGTACGTTTGTACATATGTGTGTGTGTGCACGTGTGTCTGTGACTGTGCTGTCCGTGTGTGCATGTTGAGTGTATGCAGAGAGGCCCTGGCACTGGAGGAGGGCGTGCAGCTCATAGTAGACTCACCCTGCGGGCCCAGTTGACGAGGTCATCCAGCTTGGCCACCACATACTCCCCCCGGCTGCTGGGTTTGGGAGCCACGGCTCTGGCCTTCGGCAGGGCAGGCTGGGTGCTGGCACAGAGACACACGGGCACAGGAGGCGTGAGCCTCACAGGCACTTCCCAGCGGCGGATGCCGGCCCCACAGCCACCACCAGAGGCCTGGACCCACAAAAGGTCAGGGACTGGGATGTGTGACCCCCTTCCCACCCCGCCCAGGCCCAGGAGTTCCCTGGAGACACTGGTGGCTGCAGCACGGATGCAGGAAAGGAGGGAGAGGTGGGGGTGGGGCAGGGGGTACAGCCTCCCCTAGAAGGTCGACCTCACCTGCTCGGCCCATTGGTAGCCACGGTCTGATGGACACCTCGTGCCTGCACAGCTGCACCCACGCTGGAGCTGCCAGGAGATGGAGTGTGGGTCAGTGGCCGTCCCAGTCATACTTGCTGCTGTCCTTCCTCTCCCCTCCCTGCTGTGGGACTGCCCTCACCTCTGCCTGCCAGCACGTGGGCCACTGGTCAGAGCCTTAGGGTCGTGTGGCCATCACCCCAACCCCCGATGATGGCCCAGACTTTTTTTTTGAGATAAAGTCTCGCTCTGTCACCCAGGTTGGAGTGCAATGGCACAGTCTCAGCTCACTGCAACCTCCACCTCCCAGGTTCAAGCAATTCTCCTGCCTCAGCCTCCTGAGTAACTGGGATTACAGGTGCACGCTACCACGCCCAGTTAATTGTTGTATTTTTATTAGGGATGGGGTTCCACCATGTTGGCCACACTAGTCTCGAACTCCTGACCTCGTGATCCGCCCGCTTTGACCTCCCAAAGGGCTGGGATTGCAGGTGTGAGCCCCCACGCCCAGCCGATGGCCCAGACTTCAATGGAGTTTCTTTTGAGATGCACCCAGCAGGTCAAGAGCCCACTCAGTGACAGTGTCCAAGCAAGGATGGTTCTAGGAGCATCCACAGAAGGAAAGTGGGACTAGGCTCTCCACGTGTGACCAAGGTCAGATACCTGCACACGTGCCCTGACCGGCCTGGCCGTTGCCTGGGTCTCCAGGAGGCCTGCCTATGGCTGCCATCTGCACAGGGCTCACGTAATGCCTTCCTGCCAAAGGCAGCAGGGGTCTCTGACGGCACAGAGCTGGGCCCACAGGGTTGCTCCTGACTGTCCAGGCTTTGCCACTACATGGACTGTCCCAGGGAGGGCCCCGGCACGTCACGCACAGTGCGCAGACCGCCACCCGCATCCTGTCCATAACACGCCACGTGACCTTCAACAAGGGGCTCCCCTCATCTGGTGCTGCTGAAGGCTCCCCCAGCTCAGGGCTGCAGACTCAGGCACTCACCGCAGACCAAGGATCCAGAAGCCGCGCAGGCCAGGAGCTGCGGAGAGGACCACAGGGGTGGGGACAGTGAGCTGTGGGGAAGCACTAGTGGCCACCAACTCAGGGCCCCTGGATGGGCCACAGGGGCCAGGCTCCAGGCACTTCCCCATCAGGATCCTGACCGCACGGCCCGGCTCTGACTTAACAAATGTTAGGTAACGAGGGGTTTTCAGAATATGAGTGAGTCTTGCTCCCCTACTTAAGACCCATGGCCCCAGAAGGGAACCCAAACTTTGCCCCATTTCCCCGCCCCAGCGATATTCCCCCGTGCTTGCTGCTTTCCCGCCCCAAGGCCTCCGCACTGGCTGCTCCCCTACAGGGGACACCCTGCCCCACACTTGCACACCACTGGCCCCTTCTCATGAGGCAGGTTTCAGCTCAGATGCACGGGGCGTCCCATCTGCGCCGGCACCCCAGGCCCTCAGTTCTATCTCCTGAGGTTCCGGCACCCGGTTCTATCTCCATCTCTGTGTGTTTGTAAAGTGCCTGCCACCCCAGCGACGCCAGGGCCTACCTGGGCACCCAGTGCTCATCCTGGCCTCAGCTGTGCCTGACAAGCCTGTGCTGGGTGCTCCAGGCCCTGGCTGGTGCTCGTGGGTTTCCCACGCAGTTGAGCACAGGCCCCATCCTCCAGGAACCTGCAGTGGGCTCAGCAGGGAAGGCACTGTCCACGTCAACCTACATAGCAAAGCGCCCCTAGAGGAGTCAATCACAAAGGAAGCACAGAGGAGGGAACGCGCCTGCTTCAAGGCTCCTGGGAGAACCTTCCCGGGGCGAAGGCTGAGGTGTGAGCAGGGCTTGGCCAGACCCAGGGGTACTCGGCGGGAGGAAATGCCTGCAGGTGCGAGGAACCCTGGCTCGCGAGGAAGAAGCCAGAGGTGCAGGCTTGGTGCTGGTGACAGCTCAACTGTGTCCCTCCAACCCACTGACGTCTGAAGCCCTAACCCTAACCCTAGAATGTGACTGTTTTTGGAGATGGGGTCTTTAAAGGGGTCATTAATGGCCGGGCGCAGTGGCTCATGCCTGTAATCCCAGCACTTTGGGAGGCCGAGGCAGGCGGATCACCTGAGATCGGGAATTCAAGACCAGCCTGGCCAACATAGTGAAACCCCATCTCTACTTATAATACAAAAATTAGCTGGGTGTACTGGCAGGCGCCTGTAATCCCAGCTACTCGGAAGGCTGAGGCAGGAGAATCGCTTGAACCCGGGAGGTAGCGGTTGCAGTGAGGCGAGATCCCATCACTGCACTTGAGCCTGGGCGACACAGGGAGACTGGATCTCAAAAAATAAAATAAAGGGGTCATTAGGGTACAATGAAGTCATGAGGGTGTGCCCCCATCCAATATGACTCATGTCCTTGGAAGAAGAGGCGATCAGGACACAAACACATACGGAGGGAAGACGCAGGGGGAAGATGGCCACGTGGAGGCCAAGGACAGAGGCCTCAACAGGAACCAACCGTGCTGGCCTCTGATCTTGGCCTCCCAGCCCCCAGAACTGTGAGAACATCTTCTGTGTTAAAGCTGCCCAGTTGATGACACTTTGTTGCTGTGGCCCCAGCAGATGCAGGCTGAGGCCCTCTGAAGAGGCTGTGTGCAGCCTCCAGGGCCAGGGTCAGGGTTTGACGCCCTTGAACGCAGCGGACCACGGGGCCTTCTCCTGCCTCTGAGCCCCTCCCTCAGTCTCATCCACAGTTGCTGTTTGCCATGGCCCTGTCTAGGTCACAACTCTCTGAAGGACATGAGCCTGTGAACCTACTTCTTGGCATGCGTGAGGCTGGGCACGGCAGACAGGCTAACTGCCCAGCCCCAGGCTCTGGCGGCGGCTACTCCTCTCGGCGTCAGTTTCCCAAGCTGAAAATTTAGGACTTTGGATAAGCTCCTAGCAGAGGAAATGCTCTTCTGAGCACCTCTCAGGTGATGGGATTCTAGGCCCCTGGGCCAGGCACTCTTATTTTTTTTATTTTTTGAGACAAAGTCTCACTCTGTCGCCGGGTGCCAAGCTGGAGTGCAGTGGCACAATCTCGGCTCACTGCAACCTCTGCCTCCCGGGTTCAAGCAATTCTCCTGCCTCAGCCACCCGAGTAGCTGCGACTACAGGCGCACGCCACCACGCCCAGCTAATTTTTGTATTTTTAGTAGAGACAGGGTTTTACCATGTTAGCAGGATGGTCTCGATCTCCTGACCTCGTGATCCGCCCGCCTCGGCCTCCCAAAGTGCTGGATTACAGGCTTGAGCCACCGCGCCCGGCCTTATTTTTTATTTTATTTAATTTTTTGAGACGGAATCTCACTCTGTTGCCCAGTCTGGGTTACTGTGGTGCAATCTCTGCTCACTGCAACCTCAAGCTTCCGAGTAGCTGCGACTGCAGGTACGCGCCACCATGTCCAGCTAATTCTTTTTTATATTTATTTTTATTTTTTATAAAAATGGGGTTTCACCATGATGGCCAGGCTGGTCTTGAACTCCTGACCTCAGGTGATCCACCCACCTCGGCCTCCCAAAGTGCTAGGATTACAGGCGTAAGTCACCCGCCCGGCCAATTTTTAATTTTTTAAATTTTTTTTACTTTAGGGGCTTTCCAGCAAAAAGCGGAAAGCCTGCTAGACAAATTCTAAACAGCTGTAACACTTAATTCTATTTTCAGTAGAGATGGGGTTTCATTGTGTTAGCCAGGATGGTCTCAATCTCCTGAACTGGTGATCCACCTGCGTCGACCTCCCAAAGTGTTGTGATTACAGGTGTGAGCCACCACACCCGTCCTGGGCCAGGCATTCTTAGCGAGGGGCCTAGTGAGGATTCAAAACCATGAGCTTGCAAGGATTAGAAAAAAAAAAAAATGTCTTTGTCGTCACCAACATCTTACGGAAAATTAGCCTTTTGTTCAATTCATAGCGTAGGCCAGGTGCTGTGGCTCACGCTCACGCCTGTAATCCCAGCACTTTGAGACGCTGAGGCAAGAGGATTGGCTGAGTTCGAAAGTTTGAGACCAGCCTGAGCAACATGACAAGACCCTCATCTAACAATACAGAAATCGGCCAGGTGTGGTGGCGCACACCTGTGGTGCCAGCTACACAGGAGACTGAAGCGCCAGGATCCCTTGAGCCTGGGAGGCAGAGGTTGCCTTGATGAGCCAAGATCGCACCACAGCACTCCAGCCTGAGCGACAGAACCAGACCCTCTCTCCATAAATAAACGTATAAATAAAATTAAAAATTCTTAGCATTGCCGGGCGCGGTGGCTCACGCCTGTAATCCCAGCACTTTGGGAGGCCGAGGCAGGTGGATCACGAGGTCAAGAGATCCAGACCATCCTGGTCAACATGGTGAAACCCCGTCTCTACTAAAACTACAAAAAATTAGCTGGGCATGGTGGCGCGTGCCTGTAATCCCAGCTACTCAGGAGGCTGAGGCAGGAGAATTGCCTGAACCCAGGAGGCGGAGGTTGCGGTGAGCCGAGATCGCGCCATTGCACTCCAGTCTGGGTAACAAGAGTGAAACTCTGTCTCAAAAAAAAAAAAAAAAAAAAAAAAAAAATTCTTAGCATAGACAACAAAATATGGCAGTATTAGCAGGACCTGTAACTTTTCACCAAGAGAAACCACAGATGTTTCCTAGCCACGGTACAGGGGCTGGAGACCCTTCCTATCTCAAAGCCTCGTTTCCAACTCTCACTCCTTCAAGACCGCAGTCGTCATTAGACCTGCCGCTAGATCGCGTTCATAAGGGAAGCACTCAGGTGACTAAGTCGCCAGTCAATCTTTTGGTAACTGCCTCTCGGTGTAACTGATTTCCTTGCAATGCTATGGATTTTATTCCATGCATTTAATAACTTTAGCCGGGCAGGGATGCGCAGGCTTCAGCCGATCCCAGGCTGAGATCCGCCCTGCGACAGGCCCTTCCTTACCTCCCAGGGTAAGGGAGAGAGGTAGAGGGTCTGGCAGGGTGCGTGGATGCCCTGGGTCCTGTCCCTGCCCAGGCCCGGCCCGGCCCGGCCCTGTGACCCCGAGGAGTCTCGGACCCTCAACGGGCCTCAGTTTCCCAACCTGTCAGGCCCCGCTCACTCCGGGGCATCTCAAGGGCAGCCTCTTGGGCCGTGCCCTGGTCTCCGGCGCGGGCGCGGGGCCCCTCCAGCCTCCGCCCCAATCGCCTTCCTGAGGCTGGACGCCTGCGTCATTACCTGCCGGGCCTCAGTTTCCCCGACTGCACCCTGGACGCAATAACGGAGACCGTTCATCGCAAGCCGGCCTGGCGCCCGAGGAGCAGCCGGCTCGGAGAAGCCCGGAGCGGACCGCGACCACGACACCGGTCCCGACGCCCGACGCCACCACCGCCCCTGAGGCTCCCGCGGCCCTAGAACCGCGCGCGCCCCCACACCCGCAGCCGGCGCCATACTCACCTGACAGCGCCGCCATCTTGGCCTCGGCCTTCAGACAACCTCTGCGGTCCGTCCTCTTTAGCGCTCCGGATGCCCGGGGCCGTCGCCCAAAGAGGCTCGGAGCGCGTGCGGAAACCGGAACCAGGAGCAGGGCGGTTCCGCAGCGCTTTCGGCCTCGGTGGCCGTGCCCGCACCGTGCGACCGGAGATCACCCAAGGCCGAAAGAAGGCTGTCAGAACTCGCGGGTGGTGGCCGCGGGTCTGCTGCGGGCCGGCAAAAACAGGAGACATCCATTTTCTCTTTTTGCCTTTATTTTCTGACTCAAAACTGTTGTCAACGACATTCCTTTTCTTATTATTCCTGGAGAAAAAGGAACCTCGCGCGTCCCTGGGTGGGCTCGAACCACCAACCTTTCGGTTAACAGCCGAACGCGCTAACCGATTGCGCCACAGAGACGGCGCTGCGCCCGGTTTCCCGGGAAGACCTTATGAAGCATATGCGACCTGCTGACGCGAAGCGAGCTGCGCCTGCGCGGAGAAGGCGCGGCGCGGACCGGAGTCCCGGCAAGAGCGGCCCCCGCTGGCCAGCCGAAATAGCTCAGTTGGGAGAGCGTTAGACTGAAGATCTAAAGGTCCCTGGTTCGATCCCGGGTTTCGGCAAAGGTTTTAGCGACCCTTGAAATCACTAGTGGCTTTTGTTCAGGACTGCTCCGGCTGCCTCGCACCTCCCCTGAACCCGTTTCCGGAACATCATTCCATTCTACAGAGGAACGGTCAGGACATGAGCTCATTCCAAGGAAGGAGGGCTCAGACCTAAGAAACCCAAACCCTCCTCTTCCCCACCCCGAAGACGTTATGATTCCAGCCCAAACTTCCCCTGACACTCCCTCGATTTTCCATCTTGTTTAAATTGGTAAGTTTAGAAAAAGTACTAATTATAAAAACACTAAACACCCAAAGTAGCAAAACATAGTTTGCAGTACGCTCTCTGCATGCATATCATTTGATTTTCACAATTCCACTGGAGGTTTGTTCTGCCCATTTTATGATTAAGGAAAGAGAGTCATGGCTGGGCTCGGTGGCTCACGCCTGTAATCCCAACACTTTGGTAGACCAGGTAGGTGGATCACCTGACGTAAGGAGTTCCAGACCAGCCTGGTCAAGACAGCAAATCCCCAGCTGTACTAAAAATGCCAAAATTAGCTGCATGTGGTGGCGGGCGCCTTTAATCTCAGCTACTCAGGAGGCTGAGGCAGAGAGAATTGCTTGAACCTGGGAGGCAGAAGCTGCAGTGAGCTGAGATGGCACCACTGCACTACAGCCTGGGCAAGAGAGCAAGACTCTTTATCTCAAAAAAAAAAAAAAAAAAAAGGAAAGGAAAAAGAAAGAAAACAGAGGAGAAGGCCGGACTCAGTGGCTGAGGTCTGTAATTCCAACATTTTGGGAGGCTGAGGCCGGAAGATCACCTGATGTCAGGAGTTGGAGATCAACCTGGCCAACATGGTGAAATCCCGTCTCTACTAAAAAAAAATACAAAAAAATTTAGCCAGGTGTGCCGGGCGCGGTGGCTCAAGCCTGTAATCTCAGCACTTTGGGAGGCCGAGGCGGGTGGATCACGAGGTCAAGAGATCGAGACCATCCTGGTCAACACGGTGAAACCCCGTCTCTACTAAAAATACAAAAAATTAGCTGGGCATGGTGGCGTGTGCCTGTAATCCCAGCTACTCAGGAGGCTGAGGCAGGAGAATTGCCTGAACCCAGGAGGTGGAGGTTGTGGTGAGCCGAGATCGCGCCATTGCACTCCAGCCTGGGTAACAAGAGCGAAACTCCGTCCCAAAGAAAAAGAAAAAAAAAAAAAATTTAGCCAGGTGTGGTGGTGGGCACCTGCAGTCTCAGCTACTTGGGAGGCTGAGGCAGGAGAATCCGTTAGTCTGGGAGGTGGAGCTTGCAGTGAGCTGAGATCGCGCCACTGCACTACAGCCTGGGCGACAGAGGGACACTCCATCTCAATAAAATTTAAAAAAGAAGAGAAAATAGAGGTACAAATTAGGTGAACACAGGTGAGTAGCAAGGCTGGCATCCCCTCAAGAACTGAGGTGCGTGAGTAAAGCCCCTCACGGTGGGTGTTTACTGAATTCATGCCGTGGGCTGGGAGCTCCCTGCTGAGCGAAGCCAAGCCTGGTCTCTGTTCTTGGGCGGCTCAGAAGATTTGGAGGGGTCCAGTATGGCGGCTCGCTCCTGTAACCCCAGCACTTTAGGAGGCCGAGACAGGAGAAGCACTTGAGGCCAGGAGTTTGAGATCAGTCTGTGCAGCATAGCAAGACCCCAACTCTATAAATAAGCAAATAAATAAAGACTTGGAGGAAAAGCTGACAGGAAATACTGACAGGAAACTAAGAGGCTGGCAGGTGCACAAAACCCTCTTCCTTCTACGGTTCTCACAGCTGCCAATGCTGTAGGGTTTTGGTTATTTATTTATTTAAAATTTAAGACGGGGTTTCACCATGTTGGTCAGGCTGGTCTTGAACTCCCGACCTCAGGTGATCCGCCCGCCTTGGCCTCCAAAGTGCTTGGATTACAGGCGTGAGCCACCACACCCAGCCAATTTTTGTATTTTTTTTTAGTAGAGACAGGGTTTCACCATGTTGACCAGGGTGGTCTCGATCTCTTGACCTCGTGATCCACCCGCCTCGGCCTCCCAAAGTGCTGGGATTACAGGCGTGAGCCACCGCGCCCGGCCTGGATTTTAAATTTATATAAATATTTTTAGAATAACTTAGATCGTCTGAGTACCCCACTGCCCAGTGCATGACTGTGATAGTTGTCAGGATATACACTCTTACTGACCAAAGTCTACACTCTACCCAAGTTTCCTGGGTTTCCTCCAATGCCCTTTCTTGACCCAGGGCTTCATCAGGGACCCCACGTGGCATCAGGCGTGGCATTTCCTTGGCTCCTGGGACTGTGGTTATTTCTCAGGTGGTCATGTTTCTGACGCCCTGCACAGTTCTGAGGCAGGACTTACTGTGGAACATTGCTCATTAGGGGTTTTGCTTGTGGATTGTTTTAGAGTCAGGGACAGCAGAATGCCTCCTGTCCCATGTGCCAGCCTGGGTCACGTGTTAGCTGCCCTGGACTCCTCCCGGGAGGAACAGTGAAGCCAGCCCGAGGGATTCTGGTGGCTGTTCACTTTAGTGCTGGTGGTGGGGGATGGGATGGGGACTGCAGCTGAGATCAGTGGCGGCCAAGAGGGATGGTCCTGGGGCTGCTGGGACAGGGCCCCTGCTGTTCGGGCTCTTGCTTTTTTGAGACAGAGTCTCGCTCTGTTCCACAGGGTGGAGTGCAATGGTGCAATCTCAGCCTTCTACAACCTCCACCTCCTGGGTTCAAGCGATTCTTCTGCCTCATATTCCCGAGTAGCTGAGATTGCAGGTGCCCACCACCACACCCAACTAATTTTTGTACTTTTAGTAGAGGTGGGGTTTCACCATGTTGGCCAGGCTGGTCTCAAACTCCTGACCTCAGGTGATCCGCCTGCCTCGGCCTCCTAGAGTTTTGGGATTATAGGCGTGAGCCACCGCGCCTGGCCCCTATGGGGGTCTTCCTGTTCATGTTGTGTGTGACCTACAGGATGGTGATACCGTGTGACTGCTGGGGCTCCTGGGCCGCTGACTCACAGACGTGCTGGCCATTAGACGGTGGGCTCTCAGGCAGCTTCACCCATGTGCAGGAGAACCAAGGCCTCCCACCCATGCCTCGTGCCAAGTGAGGCTCCTCAGACCCCCAGCCCCGTTTGAGCCTTTGGATGACGCGGACCCCACCAGCAGTGGGACTGCAGCCCCACGAGCTGCCCCACAAGCCCCTGGCTGGGCTGCTCTGATCTCAGACCCACAGACACTGTGTGGAATGCTTCCAGCTTCCAGGTTTTGAGGTGGCGTTCTGTCGCTAAGGGGGTTGATGGATGGGCTGAGTGGACAGAAAGGTGAGGTGGGTGGGGAGGAGAGGAATCGCGTTCAGGAACTCAGGGCCCTGGAGGACACCCTTGAGGCAGGGAACACGGAGGAGCCCTGCAGGATGTGAGCAGAGGGCAGGCGGCAGTGCCAGAAACAGCTGGGGCCAGCAAGAAGGGACGGGTCCAGAGCTGGGCGAGAGCGGGAGTGGCGAAGGCGAGGAGGGGCGTGAGGCTGGCATGGGGAGGGAGGCAGACAGGCACAAGAACCCGAGCAGGCTGGGTGCGGTGGCTCACGCCTGTCGTCCCAGCACTTTGGAGATCAAGGTGGGAGGATCATTTCGCCTGGGAAACATAGCAAGGCCCCATCTCTGTAAAAAGCACAAAAATTAGCCGTGCGTGCTGGTGCACACCTGTGGTCCCAGCTCCCTGGGGGGCTGAGGTGAGAGGCTCGCTTGAGGCTGGAGGTCAAGGCTGTAGTGAGCCATGTTTGCACCACAGCACTCCAGCATTGGCGATGGCCAGACCATGTCTCCAAAAAAACCCAAAAAAACACAGCAAAACAGAAAATGCGCCGGGCATCGAGGCCATGAGAGTGAGGTTTCTGTGGTTTGGAATTCTTGCCACGTGGACGAGATGCACTACGCGGGGACACCAAGGCCTCCCTGCTGGAAGTGGTCAGACAGGTGCGGCTGTGCCAGTGAGGGGGACCCCAATTCCCTCACACTGCCAGGGTGGCGACAAATGAGACCCACTTCAGGAAAGGCATCGGCAGGGACACAGGGGTGCCTGCAGCTCGGTGAAGCAGGTTGGGGAGTGTGGGCTGGGCAGGGAGGCATCTGGCAGAAGTGCCCATAACTCTGAGACCAAGCCAGAGAGGGAAGAGGCGAGGGCCAGGGGAAGGGCCCCATGGTGTGTGGACAGCAGTTTTCCAGGGACACCAGGCCATGTCTGCAGCCATCTGAGGCCATCTCAACAGTTGAGGCGGGAGCTCCTGGCATGGAGTGCGAGGCGGCCAGGGACACTGCTCAGCACCCGGCAGGACCCAGGTCCAATGTCCTCCATGCCCAGGTGGGAGCCACAGGGTCAGCTAACTGTCAGGAGACGGGCAGAATGTGCAGGCTCCTGCAAGCAGGGGTCCTGGCGTCTCCCCTCATGTGCACATGGGGTCCAGTATGCCTTCCTGGGACTCTGGAAGCAGTTGAGCCCCGCCAGCCATGCTGTGGGGAGGACCAGACCAGGACTCCCCCGACTGGCGTCCTGAGAGCCCCGGCACACCCAGGACCCACCCCCTTACTGGCGTCCTGAGAGCCCCAGCACACCCAGGACCCCCCCCACTGGCGTCCTGAGAGCCCCG